GTAGATATATATATATATATATATATATATATATATATATGATCATCAGCGTTTTTGTATTCATCTTCTTTTTTTGTGTCTTTATTTGTTTGATTATTATCTGTTTTTTTTCCTTGTTTCGTTTAATTGACCGCTTTGAACACAGTTGTTAGTTTTTGTTGGAAGTTGTGCAACGTCGAGTGGAAGTAGCGCAAGTGGGTAATATGCCAATACTTAAAGTTGCTCATTCCGATGAGAAGAGACGTTTTGATCCCTCGGGGTTGACATGCATTTATGAACACACGGAGCACGAGGAAAATGAGGGGACCCTATGCTCTTTGAAGCGTCAGATGTCTATGAAGGAGCTGTTGCTTCTGCTTTCGATGTCCTTTAGTTACGCGTTGTGCTTTAACACACTTAACAATATAGTGATTCCAAAAATTGTTGGCCGTCTTGGCGACAATAAGCAGAGTCTATGGCTCGGTTTGCTCATGGTACTTGGGGCACTTTGTCAGATGTCAGCGCCACTTGTTGGGGCGTACAGTGACCGTGTGGGCAACCGAGCGCTTTTTTTGGTGTCAGGTTCCGCTGTGACCGTTATGGGGCTTTTTATGTTTATTCTTGTGGAACTGACAGATATGGTGATAGTACTGTGCCTTGCGCAGGTACTCTCAACCGTGGGACTTTCTGTCATTTATAGTATGGTGATGGCATTGCTAACTGACTACGTTCTTGAAGAGCAGACTGGGAAAGGAAGTGGGGCAATGGCTCTTCTTGCCCTCACTGGTAGTGGTGTGGGGTATGCCATGCTAGCGGCGGATGTACCGGTAAAGTACTGCCTCTGTAGTTACGTGATTGTTACGCTGCTTTGTTTGACACTGACGTTGAATTCCATTCCAATCGTAGAGACACTTCGACCTGCACAACAACCTGCCCGCTTTTGCGACACGGTGATAGCAGCATTCACGATGCCTTCATTTCGTGTTTTTCCCGACTTTTTCCTTGCGTGTGTAGGGCGGGCGCTGTTCAACGGTGGACTGGCGTCGCAGGTATACCTTGTTTTCTTTGTGCGTGATGTTTTTTTGTCGACGAGCCCAGTACGCATTACTTCTGCCTTGTCGATCGCAGCACTCATAGGTGGGCTTTTGGGTGCCATTCCTAGCGGCGTCTTTTCAGACCGCATAGGACGAAAGCCTGTTGTCTACGCTGCCCTTTTTTTGTGCACTACATCGCTTGTACTTCTTGTGCTTGTGCGTGACATCAAATTACTTTATGTGGTAGGTTTTCTGCACGGCTTTGGCAGCGCCTCCTATCTTTCTGTGGACCACGCACTGGGCATATTGACACTCCCGCGTAAATGTGGCTTTCCTATCGATGCCGCGAAAGACCTGGGCCTTTTTGCCACAAGTGCAACCTTCGGGACACTTGTGGGTCAGGTGGCATACGGCACCATGCTGCAGGCCTTTGTGGGGTACACTGAGACTGGGTTAGTGCGCTACAGCTACTTTGGATTTATTGTTATCTTTATTCTTGCGGCTGTGGCGTTCATCGTGAGTGGCACAACCGTGGTATTTATTCGCTTGAAGTGAAGCACCGGGGACAAGCATCCAAGAGGGAACGAACAATTCTGGGAGAGTGGCAGAGTAAAAGTGATTAAAAAAAAAATGAAGAAAAGAACGCACAAAATTGAATAAGCATACATACATACAAAAGGATACATGATCGTTACTTGCGGTCAATTTATTTGCCGTGTATATATGATATATATGCGTGTGTGTGGCTTTTTGAGTGCATGACAGCCACTGAAAACGGGCTTGAGATGCACTCCTCTCCTTTCTCTCTCTCTCTTTGTGGGGTTTCCCGGAGATGGAATGCTTGTTGTAGTTTTTTTTTACATGAGTGTTGTGTTGTGCCACTGCTTTATCTCTGTATATGTTTTTTCCATTGTTGTGGTTGCCGTTTTTTTTTGTTTCACACCGCCCCGCCACTCCATCTTCTATCTTTTGTTGATGTTGCCTTTGTTCTTTTTCTCTTCTTTTTTATGTTTACATGCGTTGCTGCCTGCTTCTAGGGATGTCATCCTCTGAACTTGCGGTGAAGCGGCTGCGACGGCAGTGGGAGCCGGATGAAAAGGCGTGGAACGACAAAGCGTTAGAGGTGCCGTGGGAGGAAATGACGCCCCCACTTCACAAGTCAACCATCTTTGCGCTACGGAACGTCTTTTTTTTTCTCACGCCACGTCAGTGCAGTCCCGTGCCATTAACGTTTTTCGCACATCTGGCAACAGTGCTGTGGTGGAGGCGCCAACAGGGAGTGGGAAGACACTTGCCGTGCTGATTCCCATGATGGAGCGCACTGTGCGGGCGTGTGATGCGTACGTGACCGAGCACAATCGCCCGCTTCTCCGTCGAGATATTATTGGCATCGTCGTCTCCCCCTCCCGCATCTTGGCAGAGCAGACCTTTGTCGTTGGACGCAACCTTGCCTCTCGCTATCCACACACAATACGTTTTGCCTTGTGTGACGGGGCAGTACAATCCATCGGCGCCGCTCTCGACGGGCTCAAGAAGGCAGCTCGTGGCGCGGGAACGTTTTTGGTGACGACACCCCACGACTTGTCTGAGTTTATTGCCGCATGGGAGCAGGACCAGATCTCCGGTGATGCCGCGGATGACATGCAGGAATTACTGGATGCACAGGATGAGGAAACGCGGCGGCATTACTATGAGAAGCGCGGCGGCAAAACGTCGCTTGGCGGTGACACGGGGAGTGCGGTGCAACTGCGTGGGTGCAACACTGAGCGGTTTGCATTTGTGGTGGATGAGGCGGATCTAGTCTTTCACTCCCCTGAGATGCGGGACATTGTCACCCGGTTTATCGACACACACGCCTGGAGGGAAGAGCCACCTGCAAAGCGGCGAAAACCCTCCCATTCCGCATCCTCCTCCCCTGCTCGGATTGCGATGGATATGGCGTTTGTCGGTGCGACGGTTTCCACCTCGCAAAAGCTGCAGGAGTATGCTGCCCACATCAATACTACACTTGGAACGAAGATGCACACTGTGGTGCTGAACACCTCGCAAGATTTTGTCACACAACTGCAAAACCGCTACGTGGTGTGCGGGGTGCACGAATTTCTGCCCCTTTTGGTGCAACTGATGAATTTGCATGCATCACGGAAGCATTTTATTTTCTTCAACAGCTCCAAGACTTTGCGATTTGTGGAAAAGCTCTTCGCTGCACTTACAGACAGCGAGTCCCCCCTACTGTACATCAAGCAGATCTTTGTGATGTACGACGGCATGAATGAGCGGGCGCGACTTGAACAGTACAACGCTTTTCTTAACCACAAGACGAATACGCAGGAATCCGCAAAAAGCAAATCACAAGCCTCACCTTTCTCCGCAGCAGAGAAGAAGAATCAAGTTTATAGGAGTGGCTGGAAGCGCGACGGACGGCCCCCAGATGGAAAAGGTGCCATTCTACTCTGCACAGACATGGCTGCATTTGGGTTGGACGTGCGTGATGTGGACTATGTATACCATTTTGAACCACCAACAACTGTGCAGTCTTACGTCCACCGTATTGGTCGTGTCGGGCGTATGGGAATGCGTGGAAGCAGTATTCTGCTTTTGCCATGTTTTGGCAATGAAACTGCATTGGCCTCTACACGAGAGCGCAAGACAACAAGTACTCGCTTTAACACAGTTACCAACACAAAGTTCTCAACGTCCGAGTTGCAGACCCTACGTGTGACAACAGATGATCTTACAAAGGAACAAAACGATTACTTAAGCGAACTGGGTAAACGCAGTGAGTTACAGTCGTATTCGCTGCCTCCTTTTGCACCTATAACTTCAACCATTAGAAATATCATCTCTCAGCAGAAAAAGCTTTTGAAGTTAGCGCAAATTGCCGCTATGTCCATGTGCACTGTTCCACAGGATGCAGAAAATGCAAAAGCCTGGTTTGACCCTAAACTGGCACTTCACGCTCTTCTACTTGATTGAGCTTTACAAAGAAAAGGCGCGGAAGTGGTGTACTTTCACACGTATAAATGTGTTTCCTTAAATCTAGAAAACAATAATTTGGGATGTTGTGACGATGATGGACGGTCCAGCCATTGTGTCTTCACTTCCTTGCATAAAGCCTTTCTTTCTGGTTTTGACTTCATTGCTCATTTTTGTTCTTGTTGTTGTTCTTCACTTTTTTTCCTGTGTTTCTGTGTGTTTGCCTCTGCACACAATTTTTGCGGGTATAATAGTCTACTGGAGGTGGTGTACTTCGTTGTAGGATGTACAGTTATAACAATATCATCGATAAGGCCGAGCCCAGTAACAAGGATGTAATTGATCGTGTGCCCTTGTGCCTTGAAATGACCAATATTGTGTCGCAGCGTCGCGTGGATGATCGGGTTGATGTTTTAGTTGTGGAAAATTTCTTGTCCAGTGCGGAATGCGATCAAATCATTGCCGCCTGCGAAGAAGTGGGCTACACCTTTTGGCGGCAGAAGGACGCCAGCGTCGTTTGTGTCGCGGGCCACTGCAGTGGGGAAGAGGAGGCACGTGCTTTTCGTGTGGTGGACACCATTGAGGCAAATTTCCCGCAGTTGTCACGAGCACTCTCGGAGCGCATTCAAAAGGTAGTGCATTTGGAGCCAAGAACCTTTGATTCATCCTTGACGGACTCAGAGGACATGTTTGCTCGTGATCTTGAGGGTACCTGGGTGCCGTTGACTCTCTCGAGTAATCTGCTGCTTGGTAGGTATGGGCCTGGTGGACATTTCTCCCCGCACGTTGATGGATCCACCGTGGTGGACCTGAATACGCGTTCTCTGTACACACTACTTATCTACCTGAACACCTGCGAGTGTGGCGGGGAAACAGTGATATTTACAGGAGAACAAATGGACACCCTCGAGCTGGACGCAAAAACGGGCAAATACATTGGCAAAAAAGCGAACCGCGTTGGGGCGGTTTGCCCTGAAAAGGGTTCTGCTGCATTTTTTTTCTGTGATGTGCTTCATGAAGCTTCACCAGTGGGGGAGGGGGGCAGCAAGTACATTATCCGTGGCGATTTCCTTTATCGTCGCGAACCACCAATTTTGACGGCGGAGAATGACAAGAAGGCTTTTGAGCTCTACGAACAGGCACGTGTGGCGGAGAGTGGTGGAAATGCCACGTTGGCCTGCGAGCTCTTTCAACGTGTTCGTAAGCTGTCAAAAGGGGTAGCTGAACTTTATCAACTTTAATTTGTTAAATGGACCTTGGCGGTGTTTTGACGCTTTTGTCGCTTTTTTTTTGAGTAATTAATACCCCTAGTTGCGTTTGCCGCAGCAAAGAGAACTAAAAAGGGGGTGAATAAATGTATGCCGCGGAGCAGAGGGATCGCGGCCTGTGAGAAGTGTGAGGCGAAAGAAGAGAATGCACCTCCCCGGTCTCGTTTTTTCTTTCTTTTTGTTTTAAACCTACTTTGTTCTTTTGACCACAACGTTGTTGTCTCTATTACAGTGTACGTTGAAGCGGTCGATGCCCTCGCAACAGTTTGTTGAGGAATATGACTCACACGAGCCACTGCAGGAGCAATACTTTGACGCCTATACTGATCTTGGCGTGCACCGCGTCATGCTTGCAGATGCGTCTCGCATGTCGTTTTACCGCCAAGCACTCACCTGCGAGGCGGTTGTCCGGGACCGTGTGGTGGTGGATGTGGGCTCAGGGACAGGCATTCTATCCATGTGGGCAGCCCGTGCAGGGGCAAGGCATGTTTTTTCTATTGAGGCGTCGTCGCTGAGTCTTGTTCAGGCGCAAGTCATTGACGATAATGATATGTCGGATAGAATCACGCTGTTATCAGAAACAGTGGAAGCTGTCGTTTTGGAAGGCGTTGAAAGTTTTATTGCGAAGCATGAGGGACTATTGCAGGGGCGCGGGGTTTCGGTGATCGTATCGGAATGGATGGGGTTTTACCTTTTACATGAAGGCATGCTGCCGTCCGTGATCCGTGCGAGGAACTTCTTTGTGGAGGTCAATGCAAAGCTGGGGATTGCCTGCCCCATAGAAATGATTCCAGAGCGGGCAACTATATGGGTCGCGCCCATGAATTGTGCCGCATACTATGAGGAACGCTACCGCGAGTTCTGGGGCAACGTCGGAGGCTTCGATCTCAGTCGCTATGGCAAGATGGAGTTTGAGACCCAACTGGAGTCAACCAATCCACTCATTGACACAGTGCCATCCTCGTGCCTCCTGCACGAGGGTGCGATTCTGGCGGAGCTGGATCTCACCTCCGTCCCGGAGGAGGCGGTGGCATCTATGTGTCGTCCCATTCATTTTAGCTTTGGCAATTCCACGGCGTTTCAACGGCACTTTAGCACGGCCCACCCACAGGGGGTGGTCGTGGATGGCTTCACAGTGTGGTTTGAGGTGGGCTTTCGGGAGTGGGCCCTAAGCACCTCCCCTTGGTGCCCGCCGACGCACTGGAAGCAGACAACTATTCTCTTGCCGGCCACAGCGCGGGCGGAGCAGCTCGTGGCGTTCACGTCTCCGGAAGCAACGTCGGAGGTTGAGGTGCGACTCGTGGCGACAGACACCGCATTGCGTTGTTACAGCATTGAGTTTGAGCTAAAGTAAAACACATACGAAACCGAAAAAAAAAAAAAAAGAAGACACGCGCGAGCTTCTTCTGCGGTGTGTACGACGCGCCGGTAATACGCCCCTCCCCCCCTCCACTCTCTGCTGCTTAGCAACTCATTAGATGGTTTGTCTCGATTCCCTCTAGTCTTTTTTTTTTTCGGCTCCGTTGCCGCAAACCGAAAGAAGCAAGCAGAAGAACACGGGGTGCTCATGTCAACGGGTGAGCTCTCGGCGGAAGCCGCCGCCTACTTTGAGGAAAAGCATATTAATCTCTGCTGGAGAACTGTTTCACGATGTCGTGTTACACCTTCCTGATGATCC